CTAAACCAGGACTAAACCAAGACTAAACCAGGTCTAAACCAGGACTAAACCAGGATTAAATGGTTGTGGCTGTGTGTGGGTTTTTTGCCTGGGCGCGCACACATCGCACTCACAGATAGACACGTGTGCCCAAGTGAGTGAGGCTCTCCGCTCTGCACTGGCCGCTCTCCGGGCAGCTCCGGGCTTTAAATCCTCGATCTCGGGAATCGTTGACAACACAGAATGTACGACTCTTCTCTGATTGGCTGGTGCCCGAACTCACACTTCCGGGGTTCTTGTAAACTGTCAGGTGTATTCTGATTTCTGACCTAGTCGCTGGAGAGAAATGAAACTGAGCGGAGGCACTATGTGGCCAGCAGATCTTGACAAGGCCACCCCAAAAAAAATCTCTTGCGACGTACCTGAGGGTTGCGGCCCAGTCTTTGGGAAACACTGGGCTAATCCACCTGTCAATCACGCCAGTCTTAACTCCAGTTTCACCAGAGACAGACTCACATCTTTGTAAAGTGTTGAAGAAGTGTGTATTGTGGATCACGGGCAACATTTATCACATTGTGGGAACTAAAATCTAAATGAAAATCCATCTCCACAGACATGATGTGTACCTGCTGTTCTTATCAGGTCTCCATGACGATAACCCTTTATTATTACATCATTTCAACATCATTTCAAGTTAACATATGTGCAAAAGGAAGTAGAAGTAGAAGTAGAAGTAGAAGCAAGTGGTAGCAGAAAAAGTGTGTGTTTTTGTGTCTAAAACATGAAGTATTCAATAAACATCAATATTACAGACAGTGTTGGGAAGGTGACTTTTAAAATGTAATCCCCTACAGATTACAGATTACACACACCAAAATGTAGTTTGTAACATAATCCATTAAATTACTTAAAGTGAGTAACGTAATCTGAATAGTTTGGATTACTTGATTTGCTGTAGAGAAACAAAGACGAGGAAATCTTCACATAAGATGTTTTATCTGCTAAAAGAAAATAAAAAGCCCAGACTTTACTGAACCAAATTAAAAATATTATTGATAGAAGAGGAGGAGACACAGTCCATGAAGCATGATTTAGTCCTGTTAAAAATCCTGTTTGAGACATAGTTTAAACCTGGTTTTAGTCCTGGTTTTGTCCTGGTTTAGACCTGGTTTAGACCTGGTTTAGATCTGATTTAGACCTGGTTTAGATCTGGTTTAGACCTGGTTTAGACCTGGGTTTAGACCTGGTTTGAACCTGGGTTTAGACCTGGTTTAGACCTGGTTTGGACCTGTTTTTTTAGACCTGGTTTAGTCTTGGTTTAGACCTGGTTTAGATCTGGTTTAGACTTCGGTTTAGACTTGGTTTAGTCCTGGTTTAGTCCTAGTTTAGTCTTAGTTTAGTCCTAGTTTAGACCTGGTTTAGACCTGGTTTAGACCTGGTTTAGACCTGGTTTAGACCTGGTTTAGACCTGGTTTAGACCTGGTTTGGACCAGTTTTTTTAGACCTGGTTTAGTCCTGGTTTAGGGTTTAGTGAGTGGAATTACAAAAAAAAAAAAAAAGGGATATAGCCCAAAATGTGAAAACAGGAAAATACCTCAGTGTAATCCATTTATTTCAACCAAGTAACTGTAATCTAATTACCTCTCACTTAAACAGTAACTGTAACTGAATACAGTTACTCATAATTTGTACTCTGATTACGTAACTCCAGTACATGTAATCTGTTACTCCCCAACACTGATCACAGAGTGGCTTTATCGCTTCTTTGTGACCTCTCTCACCTGTGTGACCTTTGACCTCTCACCTGTCTTTTCCCTGAGCTGCTCTGGACCAGCAGCAGCAGCAGCAGCAGCAGCAGCAGCAGCAGCAGCAGCAGCAGCAGCAGCAGCAGCAGCAGCAGCAGCAGCAGCAGCAGCAGCAGCAGCAGCAGCAGCAGCAGCGTTACACCAGGACATGAGCGTGAGTGAGGGCCGCTCCCAGGGGCTGATGGGAAACACAGCAGCAGTGGCGTCAGGTACGTGTCAGAACCTGCAAAACAAGAACAGTGTCAAAATATGAATCCAGATATGAGTCCGATTTAATCAGATGTGAAGTGCCCAGACTCGTGCGCTTTTCAAATACTCACATGAGTCACTAGTGTATCATAAAACCGTGGAATGTGTCATTGAGAGAAAGTATGTTCGAGGATTGTGTTACCTGCAAAACTATAATTCGGTATTTGATTTATGTTTCGAAAGCAGGGTTCAATTCAAAATGTACTTTCTGAAGACTTCCAGAAGCATTTAAACATTTGCATAAGACTGAAACATGAATCCATTCACTAATACAAGGATCATCTGCATTTCAGAACATGTTTGTATCGTGTCATATCATGTCGTACAAAGGTTAAGTCGCGTTCAGAGGTGTTTCACGAGTGTCACGGACTCATCTTCTAATTCAACATCATATGGTGTTTATTTGACAAGTGACTGTTTTTGGATTGATTTGCCTTTTTATTTGTATTAAGGTTAGATTATATCATGTAATTGTAAAGAAAAGAAAAGGTGAATTTGCAGTTATTCACATATATCATTATTTATATTTGTGTCTTTGCTATAAAAATTATCACTTTTTTAATAGTGCTTTTCCATCTTCAAGACACTCAAAGCTCTTCACAACAAGGAACTGCTCACACATTCACACACACATTCACACACACATTCATTCACTTGTGCAGGAATGTCCAAACTTTTTTCATCAAGAGCCACATATCTAAACACAGATGAAGCAGAGGACTGATCGAGTGCCGTAGTGAATAATTCAAATATGTGCATGTTTAACACGTTAGAATGAGCCATCAGTTTATATTCAAGCTAAGATCCTTAAAACCACATACTAAATATTAAACATGAGCTTTATCAAGGCAGATTTTCAAAAAACTTGCAGTAAAAAAAAAAAATTTAATTGATGCAAGGTAATTTGGGCCAATTCACCTGGAAGCCTGAGGGCCAAGAAAAATTTGTCTGAGGGCCGCATTTGGCCCCCGCGCCATAGTTTGGACATGCCTGCCCTAGTGTACGCAGACTGGGGTGAGGTGGGTTAAGTGTCTTGCCCAAGGACACAATGACAGGATTAATCTGTGGGTCAGAGTGCTCAACCCATGATGATTATGTCGAGAGTGGGATTCTAACCGTCAACCGTCAGATCAGTGGACGAACGTTCTGCCAACTGAGCTTCTGCCGCCTCATGATTCAGTTCACTCTTGATTCAGTTGTGATGAATCTTGCAGCAACTGTTAAAGAAACAGAAACACAGAAATAAACTTTGCTGTAGTTTGGTGGTCAAAACAAAACGGCAGCCACACATCCATCATTCTGCCACCAGGGCAGCTGTGACTCTGACCAGCGGCAGTAATGTAATCTATTACAAAATATGGGCAACTGATTCCCTTTACAGGTGCACTATGGGTAAGTTTTGAGGTGAAGGGTCAGCACCTGCTTGTCTCCAGGGAGATGTCACAGCTATGGCTGAAATAGTCCACAATACGGCATTAAAAGTATCTATCTCCAAGGAGGATGGATGGATGGATAGTGCTCTTATTTAATTAATGAATTCATTTTTTCACAAAATATTGTGTGGATTAGTATATTGTACTTTAAATGTATTGATTCTACTGATTTGACTGATTTTCTGCATTCACTAATAGAACTAATGAATGTTGGTGTGGTCTTGTATTTTCTCCTACATGCCCACTGTTGTGATAGATTTAAGTTGTTTTTTAACAGTTATTTACTTCTGATTGCTTCTTTCTATTCTCCGGCTGTTCTTGAACTTTGCACTGCAACACTGGAATTTCCCTGCTGTGGGTCAAATAAAGGGTCTTTTTCTTTTTAAATGTCTTGACAAGATCTTAGTGTGAATCATGACTGTCAGAACCGAAAGAATTCAGATTTAAAAAGTGCCTAACAATAGTTATTTTGTCATTTGTCTGCACTGAAATGGAACAATCATGTTCTGTGTAGTTCCCTCTGGTTTACTGTATTGTACTGTATATTACTGTAGTACTTTTGAGGACACCATGTCACAGTATTTTAGTTACATCCAAAGTAACAAACAGAAGTGAGACGGAGATGTTCCAGTTTGTTCCTGTAAAATTAATCACTGCATTTATTGACTGAAAAGAGAAAATTATTTTCAAAAAACATATATTTTTTTAGGGGAAGCATCAAGTCTTCTCAAGTCACAGGACTCAAGTCTGAGTCAAGTCCCAAGTCACTGCCCTTCAAGTCCAAGTCGAGTCCCAAGTCTTTGTCTATTTTATCAAGTCAAGTCTCAAGTCCTAAAAATAGTGACTCAAGTCTGACTCGAGTCCAAGTCACGACTTGCAAGTCCCCTCCTCTGTTTACCCTTTTCTGTTGGGTGATAAGTTAATGTCCTAAAGCAGACATGTCAAACTCAGGCCCAGGGGCCAGTTTTGGCCCGCAATATAATTATATTATATTTGGCCCATAAGATCATATCCGATGTCTATATGAGAGCTACCTGCCGGCTACAGATAGACTATAGACTATACATTATTTATTTAAAATGTTGTTATTATTTTATATTCTGCTTGTTCTGGATTCAATGTTTAAGCAAAACTATTATTAAACTTTTATTTGAATAAGAAAAGGTTTAACATTACTTATTTTGAAAGAAGAGAAAACATGTAGATGTTGTTGAAAATTTTCAATAAATATTTAGTTTGTCCCACAACTTAGTCCCAGTTTTTAATTTTGGCCTCGGTGAATTTGAGTTTGACCCCACTGGCCCAAAAAGACAAATTAAACAAACAAACTAAACAAACCCTTCAAACTCTTTCTGTCTTTTCCCCCGTGACGCGCTCTGACAGCAGGAGGAGCGCGTGAGACTTCTCCACAACTGGTACCGCTTAAGTGGGCGGGGCCTGTTGATTAGAGGGGCGGGGCTTGACTTTACGCTGTGTGCGGGGTTTTTGGCCTGGGCGCGCGCACGTCGCACACACAGATAGACACGTGTGCGCGCGTCGCTCTGAGTGACTGGGCCAAAGTGAGTGAGACTCTCCGCTCCGCACCGGCCGCTCTCCGGGCTGCACACGGGCACGTTTCTCCCCCAAAACAACTCCAAAAGTGTCCGAAAACAAAACCCAAGTCCAGCTGAGCGCGCGACGGGAGCTCGAGGAGGACACGGCGAGGACGCGACGCGCTTTTTGGATGCATCTTGGAGAATCTTTCATTGGATTTGGAACTTTTTTTTTTCAGTGCAGTAGCGCAAACTCCGATGAAACAAAAGGCATATCAGCGCTTACTGTAGCTGCATTGAGCGCTGGCCGTGCGTCAACTGTACGTGCACGCTCTTTACCGTGGATCAGGACCGGACTGTCGTGTTTTTTGTGGACTGACGCCAAACACATGAGCGGCTCTGAGCGGACTCTGGATCCTCTGGGATTACAATAACGAGGCGATGGATAATTTCTTCACGGAGGTGAGTCGCTGCTCCAGTCACAGTAAACCGCGCGGGGCTGTGCTCGTGCTGGACGCGCTGAGAGATGTTCATTGAAACTTTTAAAGGTCCCGTAATTCACACAAAAACTGACACTGTGAGCTTTAAATCACCCCAGTTTAGGTCTTGGTTTAGTCCTCGTTTAGTCCTGGTTTGGTGCTGATTTAGTCCTGGTTTACTGCTGGCTTGGTCCCAGTTTTGGTCTTGGTTTAGTCCTGGTTTGGTCCCAATTTAAGTCTTGGTTTAGTCCTAGGTTTATCTTGGTTTATTGCTGGTTTAATTCTCCTGTTAGTCCTGGTTTAGTCCTCCAAATAGTCCTGGTCTAGTCCTGGTTTAGTCCTCCAAATAGTCCTGGTTTAGTTCTGGATTAGTCCTCCAGTTAGTCCTGGTTTAGTTCTGGTTTAGTCCTCCAAATAGTCCTGGTTTAGTCCTCCAGTTAGTCCTGGTTTAGTTCTGGATTAGTCCTCCAGTTAGTCCTGGTTTAGTTCTGGTTTAGTCCTCCAGTTAGTCCTGGTTTAGTTCTGGATTAGTCCTCCAGTTAGTCCTGGTTTAGTTCTGGATTAGTCCTCCAGTTAGTCCTGGTTTAGTTCTGGATTAGTCCTCCAGTTAGTCCTGGTTTAGTCCTCCAAATAGTCCTGGTTTAGTTCTGGTTTATTGCTGGTTTACTGCTGGCTTGGTCCCAGTTTAGGTCTTTGTTTGGTCCTGGTTTAGTCCTGGTTTAGTCCTCCAAATAGTCCTGGTTTAATCCTGGTTTATTTCTCCAAATAGTCCTGGTTTAGTCCTGGTTTAGTCCTCCAGTTAGTCCTGGTTTAGTTCTGGTTTAGTCCTCCAAATAGTCCTGGTTTAGTTCTGGTTAATTGCTGGTTTACTGCTGGCTTGGTCCCAGTTTAGGTCTTTGTTTGGTCCTGGTTTGGTCCTGGTTTAGTCCTGGTTTATTTCTCCAAATAGTCCTGGTTTATTTCTCCAAATAGTCCTGGTTTAGTCCTGGTTTAGTCCTCCTGGAACTTGTGGAATGGTCAAAGATAAAGTGAAGTTGGGTGCACTTCTTGTGAGCTAGAATGTTGTTACCTCCTCAAACACAGACCTGGAGTTGTGTTTTGTTTTTGTTTGGAGTAAACTCAGAACGCTCTGCTCCACCTTGTGATGTCATGAAGCGGTAGTTTTCAAGTTACTGTCAGCTTGAACCTTTTGATCAGTAGAGATTCCTAATTCCAGGTCTGAAATGATCCAAATGATTCTCATGAAGGTATGTGGAGTTTAAAAACACACTGGAGCACTTCCTGTGTCACCACATGACATCACAAGGTGGAACTTTAAGAGAAGAAATCAGCCTTAAACTGCAGGATTTGTGTGTTAAACATAAATGAAACAAAACACAACTCCAGGTCTGTTTGTGATGATGAACGACTTAATAACCAGTGTTGGGAAGGTGACTTTTAAAATGTAATCCCGTACAGATTACAGATTACATACCCCAAAATGTAGTTTGTAACGTAATCCATTTTGCTGTAGTGAAGCAAAGACGAGGAAATCTTCACATAAGAAGTTTTATCTGCTAAAAGAAAATAAAAAGCCCAGACTTTACTGAACCAAATAAAAAATATTATTGATAGAAGACGAGGAGACGCGTCCACGCAGCATGATTTAGTCCTGTTAAATCCTGTTTTAGACCTGTTTCAGTCCTGGTTTAGACCTGGTTTAGACCTGAGTTAGACCTGAGTTAGACCTGGTTTAAACCTGGTTTAGACCTGGTTTTAGTCCTGGTTTAGTCCTGGTTTTAGTCCTGGTTTTAGTCCTGGTGTTAGACCTGGTGTTAGACCTGGTGTTAGACCTGGTGTTAGACCTGGTTTAGACCTGAGTTAGACCTGGTTTAGACCTGGTTTAGACCTGGTTTTAGTCCTGGTTTTAGACCTGGTGTTAGACCTGGTTTAGATCTAGTTTAGACCTGGTTTAGACCTGGTTTAGACCTGGTTTAGACCTGGTTTAGTCCTGGTTTTAGACCTGGTGTTAGACCTGGTTTAGACCTGAGTTAGACCTGAGTTAGACCTGAGTTAGACCTGAGTTAGACCTGGTTTAGACCTGGTTTTAGTCCTGGTTTTAGACCTGGTGTTAGACCTGGTTTAGACCTGGTTTAGTTCTGGTTTAGATCTAGTTGAGACCTGGTTTAGTTTTCGGCAATGAGTGGAATTAAAGAAAAAAATGTAATCCATTTATTTCAACAAAGTAACTGTAATTCAATTACCACTCACTGAAACAGTAACTGTAACTGAATACAGTTACTCATAATTTGTACTCTGATTACATAACTCCAGTACATGTAATCTGTTACTCCCCAACACTGGTTAATAACAGATCAGAGAAAAGTGTTTTAATGAAGTTGTCTTCAGTTTTGTCATCCAGTCTGTTTATTATTAGGCTCAGATCAGGAGGCGGGTGGATGCGAGCGTCAGCAAATAGTCACTTGGGTTTGGTTAGTTCAGTATAATTGGGGGATTATTTATTTTGAACTGTAGGCAATTCGTTTGACTGCTGCTACGTCACGAGAATCTCTTTAAACTTTCAACTACTGCACTTCAACATCACATTATTGTTCGAAAAATATGTAGGAAATCAAATCTGGGAACGTGACCTTGTTGCACGTGAGTTATATTCCGAACATTTTAGTCTGAATGAACTCTCGCAGACGACCAACTGCTCTTTAAAAAAATATTTGACAAGGGCTCATTTAATTTTAACATATTTATTTTGCTTTTTGTAAAATAAAAAGTAGCCCCCCCAAAACATCCCTTACATACACAAAAATGCAATAAATAATACATACAAAATGAATAAATATATGCATCAAATAAATAAAATAATAAATAATAAAAATAAATAAATAAAATAATAAATAATAAAAATAATAAATAAATATAATAAAATAATAAATAATAAAATAATAAAATAAATAATAAAATAAAAATAAAATAATAAAATAAAATAAATAAATAATAAAAATTAAATAAAAATCCAAGTAAGAATACCTATAGTAATAAATTAAAGAAAAAAATTACGTATTTAATATTTATTTTAAAAATCTGGGTTTCGTATTGTGACCCTTTCCTCCAATCAGCTCTCTATACACTAACTATTCATACAAAAAATAAACATATTTTTGTATTATGATCGATATAAACTACGTAAAACTTCTGTCCATGTTTGTTCTATCACTGCTCTGTCTAGAATGTTCCACAGTGTGACATTAAACAGTTCTACTTTACATTTATTCAATTACAGGTGATTTTATAGCTCAAAAATACCCAGAAAAAAAGGGATTTTTGCTCTAAGCAGTGTCGCCTCTCCACAGATCTGACCTGTAACTTGCTCTGGTTTGGTCTCCGTGAAGATAGAAAGATTTAATACCACACTGTGAAACATTCCAGACAAAGCAATAATATCTCCATGGAGAAAAGCATTTGACGGAGCCTCCACCAGAAAAGTTACACATTGTATCTTTAATATGGCAAAATGCCTTGATTAAAATTTATGATATTAACACATTTGATCAAATATAGCACTTTTTTGCAGATTAGATTAATAGGGGTGTAACGATATCCGAGTCTAACGATACGATATCATCACGGTATGAACCTCACGATACGATATATATTACGATATTTTCCTTTTAAAATGCCTTGACAAGACTTAATCCAAAGAACTAAGACTTAAAAGTGTTAGAACTGTTATTTCTTCTTGTAGTCTGCACTGAAATGGAGCAAAGGATCATGGTCAATGTAGTTGGGTCCGGGTCAAGTGGTAACGGAGGGAAACAGGGGCAGATTTTTGACATTCAAATGTCTCTTATTCAGAAACTAGAGGAAACTATTGAAATAAGTAAAGTATCAGAATGTAGGAAAGAGTTACACTCCAACAGGGTCAAGTTAAACCTGTGATATTCTTTCAAGTTCAAGACAAAAAATGTAAAAACTCATGTCGGTAACGAAGGGAATGAAATATGCAGCACTTTTTGGGCAATAAATCCAAACAGTGATAACTCTTGGTTCTCACTTCCATATCCTTAACAAACTGGTTTGAATATTTGCTTCATATAGTTTTCTACCATATGGTACAAGATTAGGTTGAAAAACCTCTTACTTTTTGAGTCATGAGATTTTTTATTAAGAAAGTTCATGGTAACGGAGGGAAAAGGAACGGAGGGAAAATTGTACAAACAAGTAGAAGGTGCAGGATTTTACATCATTTGTCAAGTTTTTTCTTCCAAATACTTTAATATTACTTCAAAATGAAAGGAAACTATTTCTATAAAATATGTCAGTCCTTCCAAGCAAATTTTTATCATTTTAAATACATTTGTTTGAAAAATCCTGTCCCTTCATCAACAGTTCAAAGATGGAATAACACAAGATATGATGAAATACATCCATTTATTTACATGATTTGCAGGTTTTTGAAATTTGGGAAATAATTTTTGTTCCATGTTTCATACATGGTCTGTTTAAAACATATGGAACTTTAGAACCAAAAATGGTACAGAAAAAAGGTCAACAGTTTCATAAACTAGAGTACATATGTATCTGTTCAATACATTTTTATATCAGATGCATTAACTTGATTTTTTGGCCTTGTTGTTTACTTCTGCTTGACCGGGCCCAGTTCTCTCTGTCTTTTTGTGTCTATTGCTGCACCATAACTCTTCATTTAAACAAAGAGACTTGTAATTCAATATATTGTGATGGTCCAGAACTTTGACGATACAATATTATTCCTATTTGATGATCAAAATACAAACAAACTCTTCATTGTTTATTTTTTTTTAGTCATTGCCTCCTTTTTTAGAACATCTATCTTGTTAAATCGGTGCTGTATATCTCCTCACCTGACACTTGGCATTGTAAGCAGCTTTAATAGCGCCAGAAGAACCAAAAAAAAAAGAGGTGGTCCCCGTGGATTTGAGGTATTTCCGCAGCTCTCCTCTGCTCCAC